CAATCTTGTTCCCAACATACTTCACAGTTTTTATTAACAATTTCAAGATAACTTTAAGAAAAGAATATCAATTATCATATTTTATATCTTTTTTAGATTTATAAGGGTTAAAGTTATTAATGAAGTTTTACATCCACAGACCATATCTGAATTCATTTTAGTGACTATAATCATAGGAAAAGTTCATTCAGTATGACCTACTATACATACATGACCTAGAGTAAATGGAGATGCAAGCAAATGAGTAAACCAATGTCTGAACAGTCTTCTGGGGCATTAGGGAAGAACCAATACAAAAAAATCAAATAGAACCTTATTAATTGGATTACAAGAAGGGTACTTAGATAGAAAGCAAATAACTAAATGTCTAATTAGTAAAATCAAGCAACAGGGTCTGAGGGAGACCAACAGCAAAGTTGACGGAGGCTGCAAGGGCAATTAACAAGAATATATGAAAACAGCATTCTTACACACCATCATTAGCCCACTAGATAATATAATAAGACTAACAGATATCATTTATGAGAGCAGTAAAACTAACAATGCCCTTAGAAACAAGTCAAGTGTAAAATGTGCACGATTTTAAGGAGACTGAAAAAGCCAATTAAAAACAAAAGAACTGAATACAAAGATACTCTATGATCAAGGATGAAAAAAATACAAATCAACCAAATTAATTTATGAGACAAATGTCAACAGAAAACCCAGCAAGACGTTTTGTGGTACTTATTTTGACTTTTTGTGGACAGTTTATTTTAAAACGTATATGGAAGATCATGAAAAACAAAGATAATTAAGGGAACTGCATCCTAAATATCAAACATGCCATATAATTAAGAGCACATTTCTGTTGCAGAGGCAGACAAATTTCTGCTAGAAGAGACAGACAAAATATAAAAGCAAGTATATATGGATTCTTAGCAGGGTACGCTTGTAAGTCAGTTAAAAAGGGACAGAAAATTTAACAAAATTACTGTATATCCCTACCTCACATCATACACAAAAGTAAACTCCAGCTCAATTAAAGATATATGTAGAAAAAAAGCATGTTGCATGGCAAGAGTGATTGCCATCTTGAAAAGAAACCATCATGATTTCAGAGTTTGACTCCTGCAGCAAGATTTCTAAACAATGTCTGTAGCATAGATAACCTCTCATAAGATTTTTATCTAACCTCCTCAGTGGTGACAAGTTTCGTCATAAAGTCTAAGGTGTGAACAGCTGCATATGTTTTACCAAAAAAGAATATTTTCTGAAGGGCAGGTGCGGGGATCCACTATCTCTCAGCCGTCCAAGACTTTGCTTCTGTTCTTAAGTCCCTAATAAACGTTTATTTCTGAGAAACTGAATTTGTCAGCCTCTTTCTTCAGCCTCTCCGCTCACTTGGCCTTTGGGAGTAGGTTTACATATACCTGCTCACCACGGAACAGAACTGTTTATAACAAAACTTAAACTATTAAAAAGAATTCCACTTCTGGTAATAGTGGACTAGATAACTCAGACAACTCTCCTGCTGAAAGAACTGAAATGAAAAAAAAAATTTATTTAAAAGTCTATTTGAAGGCTAATGAAGATACACAAATGAAGTACAGTCTTTTGTCTGGAGTCAAGATATGAGAAAAAAAAGAAAACCAAAGAGATGAGCCTAGCAATAAGGGTCACTTTTCCCCAAGAGGAATCTATCAATTATGGAACAGAGGCCAAAGGCTAAGAAGTAGAGTAGAGCTTTTGACTGACTTACAACATGAGGAGGTCAACACCAAAGGACTATATTCTACATGTAAAGGGGATCAACCCTCATAAGTAAAGTCATGTGTCACTAAACAACGTGGATACATTCTGAGAAATTATACATAGTTAGGCAATTTTGTCATTGTGTGAATATCAGAGAATATACATACACAAACCTAGAGGGTACAGCCTACTGTACACATAGGCTATCTGATATAGGCTATTGCTCCTAGGCTACAAATTTCTGCTGCATGTTATTGTACTGAATACTGTAGGCAACCATAACACAACGGTATCTGTATATCTAAACATATCTAAATATAGAAAAGGTAAAATAAAATTATGATATTTTAATCTTCTGGGATCACCATCACATTTGCAATCCATCATTGACTGAATCATCCTTGTGCAGTGCATTCAAATTATCTCTAACCCTTACTCGATCAAGGTGATCCAAGATTGCTAGTTCTAACTACCAGGCAGAAGTAAATAAAAACCTTAAGTGGAAGACATCATCATTCAGAAATTCCAGAAGTTCAAATAATCTCTGCCAGCTTTTTTCCAATGTCTAACATTCTATAAATAGACAAAAATTAAAAAAAACTAAGAGAAAAAAATATATAATAGAGACAAAACCACGGGCGATAAAGATAATAAAGTTATCAAACAAAATTAGACAATAATTAACATGTTCTAGAAAATAAAGGACAAGAGTTATGAAATATCTTCAGAATGCTAAAAGAAAGTACCAACCTAGATTTCTTTGCCCAGCACATATATTGTTCAAAAATGAAGTGAAGCAACGTTTGCATACAAAAATACTGAGATTATGTCATCATACCCACACATAAGAAAATACTAAAGGAGTTCTTCAGGCAACTAGGAAATGCAGAAAGCAATAAAAAGCATAAGTATATGGATAAACGTAAACACTGGCAATATAAAGCAATAATTCCTTGTGCTACTTAAAATATATACAGAATTCCTTGTGCTACTTAAAATATATACAGAATTTAAAGAAGCATATAACAAAAACCATATAAATCCCCTCAAAAAAAAGTTGCCATACTCTTAAGAAAAAATTGATGTTTCATGATCATGAAAACTACTAAAGTGAGTTTTACACTTGTTTAAAAGATCAATGATAACTGTTTCACTAGTCACATTTTTGAAAATCAGCCAATCAGTAATAGCCATGCCTGTAACATTCACACAATCAAAATTATCACTCCAAGAACACGCCCATAAAATGGTCAAATATTTACAATGTGCAGGCATTTTAAAAATTGGGAGGATACACATTCTTGTATTGCTAACCTTAATAACAGTACTCTTCTCAGATAACAAATGAAGAAAAACGTCCTCTCATTGGAAAATCTACAAATATTCTTGAGATTTAACAAGAGCTGTAATCAGGGCAACGTTCAGAGACAATATACCTACAGCTCCTGATCAAACTCTTGTGCAGCTCTGGGTTTTTTTTCATATACAGAAATTAAACTGGTACCATGCCGCCCCCAAACCAAAGAACTATTCTGTGAGAATGACAATTAGACTACTCCAAAAGCATGATTCCCTAGCTTGCTCAGTGGACTGTCCTGTAACAAAGAATATGAAAGGGTAAAATCTTTCCTTTGATAACTGTTGAAGGAGATTCCCATCCATATCTATCTTTAAGAACTACAGTATACTTTCAGTTTATAATTACTGGCAACAAGAAATAAACTACTTGGATTAAATACTTCCAATCTGCTCAAAATAGTAACATAAAACCAAGAAAAGAGATGCTTAAAAATTACCATTTCACATTATTGTACTTCATATTCCTACTTGAAATTTTAAATGCACTGAGTTTAGCACTAAAACAATTTTAAAACACTTCTCTAACTGGAGTAATTATTTTCAATTAAAGCATTGTTCTGCTACTCAAGAGTCATCTGATTTACATAAATGCTAGTTAAGTATCATAGAAATTCTAAAATACATCATTAAAATGTCACAGATCACTTAATCCATTCTGTCAAAACAGGGATTATTTTAACTTCTGTTTCACTTCCCTTAAAAGAAATCTTATTTACTGGCGGGCATGGAAACTGAAGTGAGTGGATTGTTTGAGCCCGCAGTTTGAGAACAGCCTGGGCAACTTGGTGTGACATCATCTCTACAATAAAAATCAAAAAATTAGCCGGGCGTGATAGCACATGCCTGTAGTTCCAGCTACTTAGAAGACTGAGGCAGAAGGATCACCTGAGTTCAGCGAGTTGACGCTGGAGTGGTCATGAGTGTGCCACTGCACTTCAGCCTCGGCAACAGAATAAGACTCCAACTCAAAAAAAAAAAAAAAAGAAAGAAAGAAAGAAAGAAATCCTATTTACTTTATTTTCTCTAACGGGGAAAAGAAAATTAGTAAAAAAAAATGTACAATGTACTTCCCCAATCAAATTTTAAAATGACTGGTTAAACACAAACTGACTGAAGTAGTTAAGTGCTTTGTCTGAATGAATTTTACTGAAACATGTCTGACAACATATAATGATGTCATGTAGAAATTCAGTTATTGTTTTACAGAATTACATACTATTTCACTGATTATTCTTCTTACTCCTTTACAGATAAAAAGATCACTTTGGTCCTTATAAATAGTCCAAATAAAGTAGATACATTGCTAGCCTAAAGCAAATAATTATATAAATAGCTCTTCTACTTAGGGCTAAAACATAAACATAAAAGATTTTATTAAATAATATATTTTACTAAACTGAATTCCCAAACATAAAAAAATATATATAATCTAGCTCTATCACTTTCACATATCCTGGCAATATTTGGAAAAATGAATTTTTGCACTTGTTTATAAAAATTCAGAAACATAAAACTTCCTCAACTATTACCAGCCATAAATTATAATATAAGAAATTTAAGATAAGAAAATATCATGAATATTATGAACTTTAAAAAAATTCTAGCCATAATTTCTTAAACACATATTAATAAACAACATACACAGAGAGTCCAAAGAAGAGAAGTATCATAGTATTTTCTCAGAGACTTACCAAAATTTATCCTAATACATAAACAATCATGTAACTTTTAAATTTGCCATAGAAAGATATGTGGCTGGTTCTCACACCTACTAGATCCCTTTACACTATTTAAAGCCTTTTTTTTTCCCACACTAATATTTTCTTTGTAACAAAATACCATCTAGTCAGATTCTAAAATATGAATCTTTAGAAATGAAATTAGCAAAACAATCTTAAAATACTTACTGTCTTGTTTCGTAATCTAATTATGTCTGAGACCGAGCCAGCTCCACAATACTCCATGACAATCCAGAGGTCTGTGTTCTTAAAATAACTGCCATAGTACTTTACAACATATGGGCTGAAGGAAAATACATACATGATTTAATTTAGTTAATTCCTACAAAAATTTTTTTTCTTAATCCCAATATAAAGTATTTTCAACATTTTATAATATTCAATAAGTAAACAAATGAATAAATTTCTATTGTACATCAAATTGTCTACATCTAAAGTTCACCAACTATGCATAATTAGGCTTTAATTCATGGACGAAATTTAACAGGATTACAAACCAGAAGAAACCCAAATGTTTCTGAAGAAAATACAGCTTCATTGTGGCAAAGGACCTAATACTTAACATAAGGAACAAATGAAATATTTTTCCGTAACCAAAACATTTTAATCATAAATCTTCAAAGGATTTTGCATTCAGTCAAACATTAATATTCAACTTTAAAATGCTCTATATTTCAATAAGACCAAAAAAAAAAAAGTTACTTTAAATTTTCTTTCATTTTGAAAATTCTGGAGAAAAAGAATTATAAATTTATTTCTGTTTAAATTCAGATCATTAAAATTATTAGCAATATAAAGTATTTCTGAACTGACGTTTTATGTTTGCCAGAGCAGAATAAACTATATTTACTGCCAAGCTGTTTTCAGAAGATTTAGAAAGGAAAACATTGCCATCACCATTAATATTCATTAAGGGCATGTTACATATACTGATGTAGAAGAAATCTAATTCAAAGAGGCAGAATATCCATATTCACAGAATGCATAAAAAGAAAATACAAGATAGCATAATCTAAGTACTACACAACTTAAAACCACAACAGCTCAAAGGAAGAAGCAATGATGGAACCATTAGAGAAAACTTTGTGGAATGAGTGGGATTTGAATAGGATTATTTTTTAAAAAGCAAATACTCCAAAATGTAGGTGGAGAAGAGAGAGAAAAATATTCTAGAAAAGAAAAAGGGCATGAGCAAAGGGAAAAACCAAGTATGGCATGTTTAGGGGACAACTTGTTGAACAGATATGTCCACCTAGTAGTAGCTACAATAAAAAAATAGTAGCTATTTTGCTAGCTACCAATGTAAGATAAGGCATAAGAACAAATAAGAAAAAGTAAATTAAAAAATAAAAAATATGATAAAAAAACACGTAGAGAGACCACAAAAAGAGGGGGTTAACATAAGACTGTCAGGGAAGAACTCTCAGTAGAGCCTTTGTAATTTTAGCTAAGTCTTGAAGTCAAAGATAGAATAAGCTGGTTGGAGCTTAAGGGTCTGAACTAAAACAGGTGGCTACAGGGCTAGAATTCAATCCTGTTTTATACCCACTGCTACATATTATTTCTTGCACAGACTTGTTTCCCAACTGATTTTCTTGTCATAGTCTTTTCCTCCATTCTTACCTGCTACATATAGTTGTCACGGTGCCTAACTTTAAAGCAAAAGTAAATAAGCTGAGCATAATTCTCCACTGAAAAAATAAAAATAGGCCAGCATAGTGGCTCAGTCTGTAATCCCAGCACTTTGGGAGGCCGAGGTAAGAGGATTGCCTGAGCCCAGGAGTTCAAGACCAGCCTGGGCAACTTGGTGAGACCTCATCTCTACAATAAATCATAAAAACTAGCTGGGCGTGGTGGTGTGCATCTGTAGTTCCAGCTACTTGAAAGACTGAGGTGGAAGGATCGCCTAAGCCCAGCAGGTCGAGGCAGCGGTGGTAGTGAGTGTGTCACTGACTCCAGCTGGGGCAAAAAGAGTGAGACTCCAACTCAGAAAAAAAAAGAAAAAACTCCAATGGCTCTCCATTACCCAAAGGAAAAAGTCTTACCAGCTTTATGCAACATATAAAAGCTTTCAAAGTCTACCTTGTTACCCATATCTCTGATTACACCTTAAATCTCACACCTTAAATTTCCAAACACACTCAGCTTTGCTAGGTGCTGGGGATGGATGGAAAGTACATATAAAGGAGTTCATAAATGTTCGCTGAAACATTCACAGTACAGCCATACCACCCTGAACATGTCTGATCTCAAATGTTCCTTTGTGTTAAAAAAATCACTTCTGCTTTTAAGCAGAAGACTTACAAAGAGCCATAAGTCCTAAAGACAGCCCACAAAGCTGTCCTCACCTTCCTTACAGGATTGGTCTCACTTCCAACGAGAAGTCAGAAAAGAAAACCAAACAGATGACTAAAGAATATATTTTATTATACATTATTAGCAAAACTCATCAAAATGAAGGTCAACAAACAAATAAAATATCTTTGTACCTGTCACATTGCTGCATTATGGAAATTTCTTTGATTATTTCCTGAAGATCTGACTCAACAGGTACTTGTTTAATTGCAACTACTTGACCAGATTCCTTATGTATTGCTTTAAATACACTTCCATAAGACCTAAAAAAAAAAAAACCCAAGACATTATTTTTTCCTATCAAATATCATAGATATTAGATAAAAAGTCAGTACTAAGAGTTTTTATGTACAGTTTTTCTAGTTTAAAATATTATTTAAATGGTCAAAAAAACCAAAGTAAACAAATAAGTTAATAAATTATATCTTAGCTTTATTGCTTCAATTCAGTCTTAAAATCATCAAGTTAATACATAATGTGTTGCTATTTTTCTTATGAATAAAAGAAATAAACTTAGAGTTTGTCAATTCAAACAAAAGCAGCATTAAGAAGATATAAGTGGAAATCAAAGGAAAGAAATGTAGATTAAAAACAGCCAAAGTCTCCAATTAGGAGAAAAGGCTGATCTCAAGCACAATAGTCCCCAGAATGTGAAAGCTCCATCCACTTCAGAGTACTTAAGAACAGTTAGTTAAAAGCCTCAGCTAGGGACTGCATTAACATCAAAGTTAGAGATGCAAAGAATCTTCAGCCATCTGGTTCTACCTAAGTTATGGGTCCAAGGTCTCTTCAAATGTTCCTTTCACTGTCTTCTCCTCCTCAAAAGAAAGACTACACACTCACAGGTAAATAAAATGGGGAATGCGAACTAATGGTCACTTGTCCAAAAAATGTTTCTGTTACAACTCTTAAAACTTTGCCAATCAAATATTCATATGTTTTCAAAAGCAAAAATAATAAAGTCATTTGTACTTTAATATTAACTTTAAAAACAAGGTTAAAAACTACTACCTGTACTGAGTTTTTACTATAAGCCAGGTCCTATGCTAGATATTTTAAATACATTATCAAAGTCAACCCTCACAATTGTGAAGAAAAATGATATTACCGTCATTAAAAGATGAGAAGCAGAGACTCAGTAACAGCAAGCCTAGAATTCAAACACATTCTGCCTCCAAAAATCATGTTCTTTTCACTATATTATTTCCACAGAAGAGAAAGAGCAAGCCACTGGAAAACATGAACTATTCTGTAATATTAGGAATCTATGTAGACTCACTTTCAAATGTACAATCTTTTAAAATAAGTGAAAAGTGACAAATGATTTGAAGACAGAAATTACTTCACTATAGGTGACAGACAGAATACTGATAGTCTATGGCAATCAGTGGCAAAATAATTATTTTAACTATCACCCTTAGTTGTCTGGAGTACAGGCAAGACTTTAAAAGACCAAGTAGCTGTATCAATAGAATATATGATGAAAACAGAGTAGTTGGACTGTAGTCTGGGCTGCTGCCTCTGCCTCTATTAGAAAAGCAATAGAACAAATATATGCCTGCGCAGATTGAGAGAAAATAAAACTTCTGAATTTCTTAATTCTTAGCAACACAGGGCTGAGATTTCAAAAAATCAAAGTATCATCTTGCTAGAAGATGAATTACATTGTAAATTCAATTCACAACATCACCAAGTCTGTTATGTTAAAGTTAAAGCATTTAACAGTAAAGAGAGGTATCCATAGAAGTGGTATTGAGACATTTAGGTAGTCTCATTAATCTGAGTTCACTGACCTCCAAATCCTACTAAGCCTCCCTTTCTAGCAAAAGTAACCCTGCTCTCCTATCTGAGAAGATTAACCTTACAATGCCTGAATACTCTGTTTACCTCACCTGAGGCAGTCACTTTTTAGGAAAATGTAGATCCTCCTTCAGACCACTCCACCATCACCTCTCATTGCTTCCAGATGCGTAATTCTACTCAAATTTCCCACGGACGCCAGGAGGATAAGTATAAAATTTAACCCAAGAACAACTATTATTCCTAACAAAAAAGTTGTAAGACTTTGCCAATTTTTATCAGTAGATAAATAATGTGTGGGAATGAATTCCAAGATTTCCAGAAGAAAGAAATGTATTGTTATGCATGCAAGGTCAGAAATTCCAAACTCAGTGGGTTAGCTCAAACAGCTGGAGATGTCCCTAACAGTTTGCTCAGCTAATTAACTGAAAGCAGGATTCAACAGAGGCCTACATTAGGTGAGATGCCAAGTAATCCTCAGAATACACTGAAGAAAGGTGATCAAAGGCTCAAAAAATGGGATACTAGGATGGATATATATAATATATGTAACTTGCTCACCCACTCCCTATGTTGACAAAAAGGGTTCAAAGGATACCAACGTCAATGAAAGTGCTATACTGCAGGAGAGAAATAACAGAGATGCCAATACTAAAACTGAATTTAATAGATAATGGGATTCCAGCACAAGAAAAGTGGCAACATCTATACACCTGAGACAAGATGGGTACAGTTACCACAATGAGTAGCAAAATTGAATCACAGTTTTATTGTACAACTGCGTTTTGACATTAACGCTATGTTAGTTTTATAAAAATACCTACAATTATATGTCCTCTAAACACTGGATAGAACACACCTGATAACCTCGGGGTGGTGGTAAAATACACACGACATAAAATTCACAATTTTAAACATTTTAGAGTGTACAATTCAGTGGCATTTAGTGCATTCACAATGTTGTCCAACCACTATCTCAATGTGGTTCCAAAACATGTGGAATTTGCTTTCTGCCTTTATAGATTTATCTATTCTGGATACTTTATATAATGAAATCATACAATATGTTACCTTTTGTATCTGACTTCTTTCACTTGGCATAATATGTTAGTCCAATCACATTGTAGCATGTACTTCATTCCTTTTTATGGCCAAAATGCCATAAAATATTTTGCTTATCAATCAACTGATGGATAGTAGGGCTCTTTCCACATTTTGGCTATCATGAATAATGATGCTATGAGTTGGTAACTTTGTAATTAGTATATATGTATATTTAATTTATTCTTTTAAAGATGTGGGGTACAATTCAGGGTTAGCTATAAATGTGCAGGTACCCCTGTTGATGAGGTGTGCCTTCCCCCCAGTAGTTTCCCACTGCTGCCAATCCCGTTCCCCCCACCCCCCCACACTCCCTGGCAATTTCTCACTACTGCCAATCCCTTTCTCATAGTATTATAATCATTGTTCAAGGTCCACTTATGAGTGAGAACATGTGGTACTTAGTTCTTTGTTTCTGTGATAAATCACTCCAAGTCCAGCCAAGTTGCTGCGTAGTTCATAATTTTGTTCTTCTTTATGGCTGCATAATATTTCATAATATGTACCCTTTTTTTAATCCAGTCATCTTTCGAAGGGCAGCACAGCTGATTCCATGTTTTTGCTATTGTGAATAATGCTGCTGAAATTAATATATATTTAATCATCTTTTTATCTTCTCTGTGGTAAGTGATCTGTTTAAGTTTTAACTTCTGTAGGGGTCAATTCATATAATTTATATTTAGTTAAGAAATCATCTGTTTCTTCTGGGTTATCAAATTAGTTGTCACAAAGCAGCATACAGTACTCTCTTACTTCTTCAAATCATTTCTCTTACACTGACATCTTCCTTCTCATTCCAAAACTATATTTTTGTTCTCTTTTCTTTAGTCAACATCAGAAGAGGTATAACTATTTTATTGCTCTACTTAAAAGCTTTTTTATATATATTTGTCATTTCTGAGTTTTGGGTTTCTCTTCACTTAATTTTCTTTAATTAATTCTTTCTTTGTTTCTTTTGGTATATTTTATGATTTTTCTAAATTCTTCAAATAAACACTAAGTATCTTCCTGTTTTACCTTTCTTCAAGTTGACTTTCAAATTAAAACTCTTCCCCTATTAGCTTTGTTATACTCCACAGATATTGGTAAAATGTGTTCTCCTTTTCATTGCTTTCTAGATAATTCATAACATCTTCAACCCATTGGTTACCTCAAATTATGTTTTCTAATTTCCAGTTAGTGTGAATTTTTGTCATTATAATCTCTTATTTCTAATTAGTAGAATATAAACAGAAAATAAGACCAATAAAAACATGTTTTAGGATTTTTCCATTCTACCTAAGACAATCTACAGATTTAACGCAATACCCATCAAATTACCAACAACAGTCTTCTCAGATCTAGAAAGAACAATACAGGAATTCATATGGAAACATAAATGACCATGAGTAGCCAAAACAATCCTCAGCAAAAAAAAAAACAAAGCAAGAGGTATCACACTCCCAGACTTTAAACTTTATTATAAAACTACAACAATCAAAACAGCCTGGTATTGGTACAAGAACAGGCATACAGACTAATGTAATAGAATTGAGATTCCAGAAGCAAAACCTCAATTTCTCAACCAACTCATCTTCGACAAGGCCTCCACCAGAAACCACTGGGGAGAGGAGAACCTAATCAGTAAATGGTGCTGGGAAAATTGGCTAACCATATGCAGAAGATTAAAACAGGACCCCTACCTATCCCCATACACAAAAATCAATTCCAAATGGATCAGAGACCTAAACGTAAAATCTCAAGCTATAGGAACCTTAGAAAATGCAGGAGATACTCTTACGGAAATCGGAACTGGCAACCAATTCCTGATCAAAACCCCAAGTGCCCATGCCATAAAAGATATGATAGTAAGTGGGACCTTATCAAACTGACAAGCTTCTGCAAACCCAAAGAAACCATCAAGAAAGCAGGGAGACAGCCCACAGACCGGGAAAAAATATTTGCCAACTCTATGTCTGACAAAGGCCTAACATCTAGGATCTACAGGGAACTCAAACATAATGAAAAGAAAAAAACAAACAGGCCTATTACAAAGTGGGTAAAAGATATGAATAGATAGTTCTCAAAAGAAGACATACGAGCAGCCAACAGATACATGAAAAAATGTTCAGCCCCACTAGTCATCAAAGAAATGCAAATTAAAACAACACTGAGATACCACCTAACTCCAGTCAGAATGGCCATCATCAATAACAAAAAACAACAGATGCTGGAGAGGATGTAGTGAAAAGGGAATACTTCCACACTATTGGTGGGAGTATAAACTAGTACAGCCTCTGTGCAAAACAGTGTGGCAATTCCTAAAAGTTCTACAAATCGACCTTCCATATGACACTGCAATCCCCCTACTGGGAATATACCAGCAAGAACTTAAATCACTCTATAAAAAAGATATCTGCACACATATGTTTATCACAGCATTGTTCATAATAGCAAGAACATGGAACCAACTGTGCTGTCCATCAAAAGAGGACTGGATAAAAAAATGTGGTACATATACACAATGAAATATTACACAGCCATAAAGAAGAACAAAATCATGAACTTCACAGCAAGCTGGATGGCATGGCACAGCAACCTGGATTGTGAGGGCGTGAGGGGGCAGGGAGGTGGGATTGGCAGCAGTGGGAAACTGCCTGGGGAAGAGGGGGCATACCTCATCAACAAGGGTACCTGCACAATGAATATTTGTATACCTAACCCTGAATTGTACCCCACAATTTTAAAATAAAAAACTTAAAGGTGGAAAAAAAATAAAGAATTTGTCATTTTTGTTCTATCAATGGTCCATGAACATACCCCAAAAAAGGAGACTTGCTAGAATATACATATTGATAATATTAATTATGTAAATATAGACACATAAGTACATTATATATAGCATATATAATCAAGTTAATTCATTATGTTTAAATCCTCTATGTCCTTTCTTTTTTCTATTATATATGTCCAATGCTAAAAGAGATATACTGAAACCTCCCATGTAATTATACTTTTATTAGACTCCCTGACATTACTTATAGCTTTTCTGTCATAAATTTAGCTGCCATGCTGTCCAACATATTTTGTTATAAATTGTCTTTTATATTATTACCTAATATCCCTGTTTATTCAACTGAGATCTTTTAAACTTTAATTTAATATTAATATTGCCACTACTGCTTTTTATTTTATGTGTATGTCTACCTTTTTTTAAAATAAGAAACACCCTTATATTGCCATTCTTTGTTTTACATGAGTTTTATAAACAGCATATAGGTAAGGTTTTACAAATTAATTTACTCTAACAGTTTGTCTTTTAATGGGAGCACTGATATTTAGTGAAAAATATATATAGACTGTTAAATATATATAATGTTAAATTTTAAATATGAATATATTTATATTATTATATATTATATTTATATAAAATATAAATGTTATATATATATATACTGTTACCCTCACTGAGACACTATTTACTCACACCTACTACTTAGTTTTTCCCAAATAAAATGAGCTCCAAGGTCTAAAAAGATGACCTTATGATCACTTGCCTAATAAAGCCCAAATCTTTCAAGCTTATTAATGAGAATGCCATATGGGATGAACTAATAAATTTCTTGGAAATTATTTCACAGCACATTTCTTGATTTTCCCTGTATATATGGCCTTTTTCTCTGAAAAATACTATTACCAGATCTAGCACAATCTAATCTTTAAAATTCCATTATCAACTGTCAAATTTAATTACTATTAAATACTACTCGATTCAAGCAAACATACTCTACTTGAAAGATTAATATCATATAGTATTTGTTAAATTATTCAGCTATTATTTAAATGCTTTCAAGTTTTTTGAACTTACCCTTCACCAAGCTTCTCTAACACATCAAAAACTTCTTCAGGCTGCTTAGTCAAACTGTCTTCACTCAGCTTTTTTAGTTTACTAATTAAAAAGGAGAAAGAAAATATTTTCTTTAAAATTTTTTACAAAATTTCTAACTTTCTTTTTAATAGCCAATATGTTCATATGACTCAAAAATCAAACAATATAAAAAGATGTACAGTAAACATTCTCCTTTCAAGCCCTGTTCCTCATATGCCCAAGCAACAACCCCCAAAATAGCACTTTTATTATTAGTTTTTATTAGTTTCTTGTGAAACTTTTATACAAACATGAATATATATTCTTAATTCCCCTCTTTAATACATAAGATTATATTTTATACCAACTTTTCTTGATAAAACTGTTCTCTCCTGTTTTCACTTGACAATATATAACCCCCATAAGAGACGTTTACAACATCAGTACATACAGGTTAATTAATCCAATATGAAAACTTGAAATTCACAATCCTCGAAATTCTGAAATTTTTTGAGCATTGACATAATGCCACAGTAGAAAATTCCACGCCTGACCTCATATGATGGGTTGCAGTCAAAATTCAGGCACACAACACAGTTTATTCAGTGTCCCCAAGAAAAAGACCTTCTCAGTCCTCTCCAGCTGAGATGTATCTTTTCCATACATGGAAAGATGTCCTCATCCACAAACACCCACAAGGGTAATAAAATGGCATGTGTGCAGGTCAGATCCACAAACAGCAGGTTCTCCATGATGTCCACATGGGGCCAAGACCCACATGCATGGTTCGCTGTGATTTTTTTTGTTTATTCTCTGTTCTGTGGTATAAAGATATTGTTGAAAATGTCACACACACAAAAAAAAGCCCTGCAGATACCCCTATAGGTAACAGTAATAAGGCAAAGAGGAAGGCTTTATGTTCCTATCTAGCACAAAAAGTCAAGTTATTGGACAAACTGGACAGTGGCATGTGAAATGTCTTACCAAAGAATATAGTGTTGGAATGAAGGACAAACTGTTAAAGTTCTATGCTAAATGTGATAAACAGAAGCTAATGAAAAAAAGAAAAACAATGTATAAAGCTAAAAATGAAGATCTCAAATGAATATTAAAAGACTACAACCACCAGCACTGCAAGGAACACACCATTTAATGGTATGCTGATCACAAAAAAAACAAGCAAAGATCTATTACAATGAACCAAAATTGAAGATAACTGTGAATATTCAACAGGCTGGTTCCAGAAATTTAAAAGACAAAGCAGTACATTTTTAAAGACTTATGGTGATAAAGCATTTGCTGATCACAAAAAAGCAGAGAAATTGACAAGTGTGCCAAGGTCATTGCTGATGAAAATCTGATGCCAGAACGAGTCTGTAATGCTTATGAAACATCATTGTTTTGCTATTACTGTCCCAAAAGAAACTGACTACAGGTGATGAGACAGACAGTACCCCATGGAAATTAAGAATGCCAAAGACAGAATAACTGAGCTAGGTAGTGCTAATGCAGAAGGCATGCTTATATGCAAACTTGTTGTGTTGAAGAAAGGTTGAGTCCTTGCTGTTTTCAAGGAGTGAATTTCTTACCAGTCCGTTATTATGCTAACAAAAAGGCATGAATCACCAGGGACATATTGTCTGATTAATTTCACAAACACTTAGTACCAGTGGCTCCAGTTCACTGCAGGGAAGCTGAACTGGATGACAGCTACAAGATTTTGTTATTCCTTGACAATATAAAAGTAGATATACTGATAAATAAATATATAATAATCATGTAATAATATATTTTTAATAATGTAGTAAAGTAACACACGTTCACTATTATAATAACTATATGGTAATTATTAAAATTGTTTTTACATTATGGTAAATTTTACCTATTATAATTGTATGCTAAATAAATATGAATTGTCATCCATAAAATCTATACCATTAATTCTCCCATTATTTATATATGAGAGCTCCTCTTTTCCCACAGTTCTACCAATAGGACGTTTTAATCAAATGACTCAGGTTTTGATCATCTACTAAATGAAAATTTATTAACTCAGTGTAGACTTAACTCATATTATTATGAGAAGTTGAGCATCTTTTCAAATGATTATGAAACTAAACCACCTATTCATGTTTTTGCTCATTTTTCTACTGGGTATTTTAGTTACTCTACACACACACACAAATTAGCCTTTTTTTTTTTTTTTTTTTGGTTTACCCCTTGAATTTTGCTGAAGCACATTCTCAAGTCACTTTCTAACAAAGTGACCTTCCAAAGAAGAAGGTAAACTTTCTAAGTCATCTTGCACCTAAATAGTTCTTTATCTTATTCTCATACTTGATGTGAAAGTCCAGTCTTCACATCGAAAAGCCCTTATGCTAGTACTGACAGCCCCAATTAGCTTTTGAATGGCTCACTCTGAAGTAGGAACAGACTTTAATGAAACACCAGACATTCCTAGGAACCCTGCAACATGAAAAGGAAGCACCACTGGGCACCTCAAGCCTGTAACACCAGCACTTTGGGAGGCCAAGGCAAGAAGACCGCCTAAGTTTAGGGGTTTGAGACCAACCTGGGCAACATGGTGAGATCCTGTCTCTAGAAAAAACCAAAAATAAGCTGGGTGTGGTAGTACATGCTCTAGTTCCAGCAACATGGAAGACTGAGGCAGAAGGATCGCCTGAGTCCAGCAGGTCAAGGTTGCAGTGGCTGTGAGGGTGCCACTGTATTCCAGCCTGGGCGAGAGAGTGAGACTCCCACTCAAAAAAAAAAAGAAAAGAGAAAGAGAATCAAAGGGGGCAGTGGATACACTTAAAGCCCAAACCCAAAACTATGTGTATCCCCTAAAGCTATTGAAAGAAAGAAAAAAAGAAAGAAAAGCAAAATGAATAAATAGAACCAGAGGTACTGACTTCCTCCTCCCACCAGTCACAATTAAGGACACATCCTACAACTGAGAGGAACTGGTTCCAGGATAACGATAATGTTCAGGGTGGCAGGGGAACAGGGACAAAGAGCACAGGATTACTAAGGCTTCCCAAAAGGAAGATTCAACAGGCCCTTAATCCCATCCACCCCCTCCTGCAGACTTCCTGTAAGCTGGATTTTTTCGTTATTGTTGGCATCAGAAGTACTTAAGAAATAAAAAGTAATCTTAGAGAAAATTTATATAATGAAGAAGGAAAAATCTAACATTCTTAGAAAAATATAAGAAGATATTGTTCCCTTAGAATAAAGAGTGCTACATCAATATTTGTATACCTAACCCTGAATTGTACCCCACAATTTTAAAATAAAAATTAAAAGAGTAAAAATAAATAAAGAAAAAGAAAAATAAAGAGTGCCATAAAAAAGAAATAATTGGAGCACAAGCTAGAATTCTTAGAAAATAAAATCATGATACTAAATTACTAAACGCTGGAATAAAAAGTCAGAAACTATCCCAGAAAATAGCACCCCCAGAAAGTGTAGGGGAGGAGTAGAAACTACGAGAGACAATATTTGAGACTACATTTTAGGTGAAACCACACAACTATAACATAGAGACCTGATATGTGGCCTAAAGAACTAAGCAGATGATTCCTCTTCAATGGGACAGATCCAAGTAAAGTAGTGGTAGCTGGGAGGCAGCTCAGCAACTCATGTCATTCAGAGATCAGGTCCCTTCCCAGTCTCTGTTCTGCCATCCACTAGGGCTCTGTTGTCGCCTGCAGGTTTGAATCTGTGGTCTGGAGTTCTAGCAGTCAGGAAGGGTCAGCCTTTTTTTAAGAATACAAATATTTTCACTCATATTCTGATATCACTTTTTTGTTGTTATTTGTGGACTACTTGATTGTCATACAGAAATGTCATTGCTTTGCTTCTGCTTTTTAAAAATCATTCACCTGTATGGCATATGCAAATACATGAAAGCAAGCAGTGAGAAAGATTATACATGGTATATTGACAGACAAAAAATAATTCAGTATGAATGAAGCACACAGTAAAACTGGCATGCAGAGGTAAGTAGGGCCAGGTTAAACACAACTTTAATAACCATGTTAAGAAGCACTATTTTAAAAAGATTACTTTCCCTGTAATATAGAAAGGCCTTTCAGTGAACAAAGGGAGAGAAGGAAAATAGGGGCTGATTCAAAATATAGAAATACAGAATACAGTACCGGCAGTAAGAATTAAGAGAAAATTGGTTATTCAGGATATTATTAAATTTAGTGTGATGAAAGAAAGAAGTTAAACATGTCTCTTACACCTCTGGCTTAAGCAAAGGAATAGATAATAGTGCCATTTACTAAGCTAGGGAATACTGGAATAAAACAGCTTGGAGGGAAAATATAATACATAACAATACTTGGATTCTACTCATCCGAATGTAGATTTCAGTAAGCAACTGGGTATATAAATCCCAGAAGTGATCTGAAATAAAAATGCAGTTTTTGCTGTTAATAGCACATAGCTTAATGCCATGAGAAGAGACAAAGTTATCAAAATCATGTGTTAAAAAATATGGATCAGAGCCGGGCTCGGTGGCTCTGCCTGTAATCCCACGTCTTGGGAAGCTGAGGTGAGTGAATTGCCTGAGCCCGTGGGTTCGAGACCCTCCTGGGCAACTTGGTGAGACCTCATCTCTACAATAAATCAAAAAATTAGCCAGGTGTGGTAGTGCATGCCTGTAGTTCCAGCTACTTGGAAGGCTGAGGCGGAAGGATCGCTGGAGCCCAGCAGGTGAAGGTTGCGGTGGCCGGGAGCTGCCACTGCACTCCAGTCTGGGCAACAGAGTGAGACTCCAACTCAAAAAAAAATAAAAATAAAAATATGGATCAAAGACAAAACAGATACCAAGGAAACACCAATAATTAAGAAATGAAGTCATGAAACACATAAGAAGGTAATACTTGACCTATGTCATAAATTACCAAAAGTTCAAACAACTTCAAGATTTAAGTATCTACTGCAAATTTTCCAGGAAGTGAAAGGATACAGAACCTTTTGACAGCGTAAAAAGCTAGAAAATTCAACAAAATACAAGAAACTACTATTTTCAGATACTAGATATCAGGCATTCCAGAACTGAGATCCCTGAG